TGTGAGAATCACCCAAAGACTTAGAAAGAAAGAAATACCAATGCCTAGGTTCCATTGCTAAAAAAAAATTCTGATTTTGTTGGCCCAGGGTGGGGCCCCAGCACTGGTATTTTGTGAAAGTCCTTTAGATCAGTCGTCCCCAACCTTTTTGGCACCAGGTTTCATGGAAGACAATATTTCCATGGACTGGGAAGGGGGCTGGTTTTGATAGGAGTCTGCAAGCAATAGATTTATTATGGCCTTTGTGCAGTGAAACCTCTTTGCTAAGGATAACCTGTATTTGCAATTGCTCCCCAGCACTAGCACCACTACCTCAGCTCCGATTCAGATAATCAGGCATCAGACTCTCATCAGGAGCACGCAACCTACATCCCTCAAGAGCAGTTTAGAGTAGGGTTCATGCTTCTGTGAGAATCTAATGCTACCGCTGATCTGACAGGAGGCAGAGGTCAGGTCTGATGCCAGCGATGGGGAGCATCAGATGTAAAACCAGATGACGCGTCACTTGCTCTCCTGCCACTCACTCGCCTCTTGCTGTATGGCCCAGTTCCTAACAGGCCATGGCCTGGGGGTTGGGGGACCACAGCTTTAGGTGATTCTAATGCAGTCTGGGGTTGAAAATTGCTAACTTGTGTTACAACTTAGAGTCAACAACAGGTGCAAATTAACTTATATTTTCCTAATTGACAAATTTAGAATTTCCTGATCTGGGTTTCAGCTGTGATACTAACAAGCTGTGTTACTAACGTGACCTGTTAGTAACATGTGTGATGCTTTCTTGAGTGGATTTGTCCACACGAGGATTTTCTTTGGAAGATAATTTGAATTGATTGAGTGTTCTCTTGTTTTGTTCATTTTCTTTTGTGGGGGCAATGTATAATATTTGTGTACTGCTTAGCTCAAGTAAAGTGTGAGAAAATGCAAAGCTTCATTCGAACGAAGGGAGAACAGTGATGTTTCTGATGAAAAAAAAATAGGCCTCTTTCTTTTGTAGCAATTTTTGCTGGAGTCAAGGAAGAACTGAGCCCTCCTTTGGTAGCTGGGTGGGGAAGACTAGTCCTCAAGATGCTCAGGAAGGCTGAGTAGGCTGTGGGCCGGGTTGGGTGGAAAAAGGCACAATGGGTGGTACTCAGAGCTTTGGGACTATAGGTAAATTCTTGCTGTGGAGTCATGAATCAGGTGTACATCAGCCAGAAATCTAGAAGAAGCAAACTTCAAAGATTGCACTACTGTTACCTAGCACTAAGAAAACGTGAGCTCTCAAGCCATGGAAAGCCAGGAAGGAACCGTAAATGTATCCTAAGGGAAGGAGGGCAGTCTGAAAAGGTTATGCTCTGTATGAGTCCAACTGTGGGACGTTCTGGAAAAGACATGTCTTCAAATGTAAATTTCTACACACCATTGGCAAAAAGTTGAGTTTTTTCTTATAAAAATAATACATGTTTATTATGGAGATACTGCAAGGCAAGGAGAGGAAAAGTATCTGCAATTCCGCCACTGCAGAGGTAAATCAACTTATTAATGGTTTAATGTAGCCTTCTTTGGTTTCCCTGTGCACACACATATAAACATACACACGTGCGTTTTTCTACAAAAATACACCAAATATTCTTTTTTCATCAAGAGATTTTTTGCATTTATTAAAATTAAATTAAAAGTCTGTGAACTAAAGATTGCATTCAATTCTTTGTATATACTATTAGATTTTTTGTATGGATTTTCTACGATTACCCTATGGTTCAATGATATTTATTTTTTCCAAGTATTCTTTTAACTACTTCGTTGACTATCCTTTGGCTAATGGTTAAGACATGGAATAGCCAGGTCCAAAGCTGAGTGATATTTTAAAGACTATTAAGCATTATTGCCCATTAACCCTACCAAACTGTGTCTATTTATACTGGTGCCCTGCTGGTTCTGGGATTTCTCCTTCCCTAACCAACCTTTGCTAGTTGACAGCCCTAAATGGTAATCCCAGATTGTTGGGACAACTCCTTGGCCACAGAGAGAGTGCACATTTGTCAAATGTTTATTGACCATTAGTATTTTTCTCCGAAAATTGCTCATTACCTGTGACACAATTTTCCATTGTGGTTCCTCTTTTTCTTTTTGACTTACAAAAACATTTTTTAAACGTCAGTTAGCCCTGCCATATACAGTGTATGAATATTTCTCCCCTCTGTTTTTACTCTATGGTGGCCTTTAAGAAAACCATCTGATGCCAGTGTTTTCTGGCATTTCTTGTTTAATATACCTGTCACCGATGAAGTATTAGAGTTCACTTGCCTTAAGGAGTTCTTAAAAGGAGAGTTGTATCTCCAAGTCCTCTCCAAAGAACACTGTGATCATCCAGTGGAAACATCTGTGTAATTGAAATATCCCTAATGTCTCTGTCTCACACTTTAAGAACTATAAAGAGCACAGTTAATTTTACTTGATCGTCGGCCCCTTATTAATCTTGGCACATTTGAATTTAGAGGCAAGCGTATCCAAGCCAACTCACAATTTAGTGTTCAGTTGGCTCTAAGTGATTGAGATGGAGGTTTTTCTTTTTTAATCCAGCTAAAAAACCTTATCTCTCTACCACTAAATTATGACATGTTATCTCTCAAACATAACGTATCCAATGGTTCTATCTCTAGGTAATGTAGTCCAGCTGGGGACCCAAGGTATGCAAAGTGCATGTTTTAGAACAAAGGGGTATTTTTCTCTAGCCAGTAAATAAAAGTGATTTTTTTTTCAGCTATAAAAGGACAAAAGGTTTTGAAATGATCCCACTGGGCAGGGTTTCCTAGACTTGTTTTTTTGGCAGTTGGCCACAAAACTAACTCAGAATCTTCCAGACTTCTTCCATTTTTGTAGCACTGTGAAGATTTCACCAGATGAGACTGGACTCACTTCCCAGTGTGATGACTAATGCCCAGAGTAGAGGTGACCACCTCAGTGTATAGGTGACCACACTTAGACATGTAACAGAGTCATCAGCAGACCGTTGATCAGTGTATACAAAGAACTAGAAACTTAAACCTTTACTCTTTGGATTGCCCCCTCCGGGTTACATGTTTTCCTCCTTGAGAAATATTGGATACTGGAAATGTAACAAGTATAGTAAATGGCCATAGCTTCAGTCAGACGGTAATAAAAGTGTTTAGCTTAGCTAAGGTATCCGTGTGACGTCAGGTCTGCCTTGTTGATTTTCCATGGCTCACAGTACCACGATTACTGTTCTCCATTCTTATTGCCCTGTAGAGAGAAGGATTGGTCCATGCGCTGGACTCGGACTGATTTCTTAAGACATTACTGTTGCAAAAGTTAGAGGGTGAAATTGCATGAATAACTGAGAACAATTTCTCAAAGCGTGTATTGAAGAATCAGCACTGTATAGGTACTTTAGGTAAATTACCAGTAAGAGCAACAGCTTGTGATGTCCCAGGCACTGTTCTAAACGCCTAGGCAGATGTGGTCACTCCATTCTGGTAGAGGTGATTATTATTCCTGTGCTATATACAGATTCGTATAGAAAACAAAAGCAAGTGGCTGTGCCGGGATTTCAACATGACGAATCTGACTCTAGAGACTGCCTTCTTAATTTGGTTAAACCCATAGAACAGTATTGCACAATTGGTGACTGTGTCCCCATTTTACAGATGAGTGATTTTCCACGCATCTGTAAAGTAGCAGTTTGTCAAACCCTAATTCTAAGATCTTCCCCCATAATACCACATTTCTCGCACTAAAACATGTTTCTCTGTATTCATTTCAGGGAGAGCTTACAACTGGGCAATAGACAGATGCTTAAATGGGCCTGCCACATGTTCTTCTGGCTCCCCACTACACAGGAAGCTGCACTCTTCACTGGTGTGAAGGGCACAGTGAGAAGTTCCTCTGACTTACTCTGCGTAAAGAGATAGAGCGTTTAGCTTGTCAGCTCCTTCCTGCCTCAGGGACTTCGCACTTGCTGTCCCTCGGCTTGGAACACTGCATCCTCAGATCTTGGCACGGCCAGCTCCTCCTCAGCTGTGAGCTCATGTCATCACCCCAGTGGGGCTGGCCCTAACTACCTGCATCAGTCACCACATGACATATCACCACAAAGTGTGTGGCTTCAGCAACAGAAATGTTTTCTCTCCTAGCTATGCAGGCCGGAAGTCTAAAACCAAGGTGTCGGCAGGGCTATTCTTCCACTAACTGTGCCAGAGGAGGGCCCTTCCTTGCCCCTCTCAGCTTCTGGTGGCTTCATGTGCCCCGTAGTTGTGACAGTAGACCTCCAAGCTGCCTTGTCTGCACAGCTGCTCCCCTGTATCTCTCCTCTTCCTATAAGAACACTTGTCATTGGATTTAGGGCCCACCTGGGTAATCTAGATGACACTGCTATAATCTCATCTCTAGATCTCTAGTCTGATGACACCTACAAAGACTGTTTCCCCAAATAAGGTCACAGTCACAGGTTCTGGGTGGACATTATCTTTTGGGGATGGAGGCCATCATTCCACCTTAAGGAAAGCCACCTTTGATGCTGTTACACTCTATGACATCATCACCCACTTTATTTCTTCAAAGCACTTGTCCTTATTTGATACATCTTGTTCTGTCTACTCTTCTTTTGCTTGTTTCCACCTACCTGAAGTCAAACTTTGTGAGTAGAGTGCTATCTTTCTCACTCCTATGTCCCTGATATAGAACAATGCTTGGTATGTTGTAGCCATCACTGAATATTTACTGAATAAATGAACAAAATCACTGCACTAATGTGATGCCAGCTGGCTCTTTGATCCCTTCAACAATTTCCAGGGTTTTAGTTTTTGTTATTTTATGTTGTTTGGATTTCACTTGCAGAAATGCAGGTGTACTATGGGACGTATATTTGGTACAGTGAGTAAATATATCCAGTCATTTCAACATATTACAACATTCAGTTGCTAACTGGTCTTCTTGGCTCACTTAGCTTTTACTTTGGCCCTGAAAATGAATTCTCAGCAGAGTTTTTCTTTCTCCCTTAGGCTCTGACCATCTCCGAGAGAAGGATGGTCTCTGGGCCGTCTTGGTCTGGCTCTCCATTATCGCTGCCCGAAAGCAGAGTGTGGAGGAAATCGTCCGAGATCACTGGGCCAAATTTGGCCGCCACTACTATTGCAGGTGAGGTCAAAGGGAACAATCCCTGGATGGACCTTGGGGAACTACTCTTCAGGGAGTAGTTTCTAAAACTGATGGGCTACAACCTCAAAAAGAAATCATCTTTCAGGAAGATCCATGGGAGACAGAGGCTGGAGCCAGGTCACCCCTGATAGGTGGTTAGAGGTGACATCAAGGGCTACCAAGCCAGAAAGCACAAATTTCCTTGGACATCCCTCTGAAATCTTTTCATCAAAGCCTATAGGATGGGTAAGCCAGGTCACCCCTGATAGGTGGTTAGGGGTGACATCAGGGGCTACCAAGCCGGAAAGCACAAATTTCAGACATCCCTCTGAAGTCTTTTCATCAAAGCCTATAGGATGGGTAAGCAACCCAAGAGGAAATCCAAACTGCAAGGCTTTGAGAAGTGGTTTCTTAACTATGGTGACCGGGAGAATTGTGCAGTCAAACCAGAGGCATTTCTTGTTGGTTTTTCACCCATACTTACCAAGGAAGTGGGGCGGACATGACACTGTGCCAGCCGGGTGCTCTTGTAATCCTTTCCCTACCTTTGTCTTATCTCCTCACTGATGAGCAAACGATGTCCGAGATGCAGGAGTGAACAGACATCCTTTGGATGGTCCATGAGGTTCATGAGCCTCAGGTTTTGTTCTGATGAAAGGAGGCACAGAAAAGGGGAATGTCTTCCTCCTGGGTAGGAGGAAGAGGAAAGGTCAGTGGGTGGGAGCGTAGGGTTGGGGGTTTCTATCACTTTCTTCTTGTTGAAGTGAGAGTTAGAGTATTTTGAATGCACAGATACCTATTAGATACGTGAACATACCTAGTTCCAAGCCATGGTCTAGGGGTCGGGGAAGGAAACTGTTAACGTGGGGAGTTTGAGGGTGGGGCAAGGGAATCCTTGGGTCATCTCAGAGTGATACAAGCAGAGACTGCAGCTCATTTTTGCTTTACTGGTGAATAGTTAACCACTTTGGATGTTCGCTTATATTTCAAAAGCTTAAGGGACAGAAAGAGAGCTTTAGAATTCCCTTATAAGGTGATTGTTTTTTCCCTCAAGAAGTCATTTACTTAGATAAATATCAGAGAATAAAGAAGTCTGTGATAGTACTCATTAAAATCAAAGAGAGTGCAGCCTTCTGGGAAATGGAGACAACACTGTAATTCCCGTATAGTCAAGAAACTACCTCCAGTTATACATTGTATTATTTAAATAAGATTTCTCAATGCAGAAAAAAGGGTTCTCAATGCAGGTAGGAGCTTGTTTTACTCATCATTATTTCTAAAATGTGCCCAAGCTCTGATTCTTATGTGTGTGTGTGTTTTGCATACCAAAGTCTAATTGGCAGATGAAATCCTCATATCAAATATATTATAGTTGCCATCCTCTGGCTTAGGGAGATTACTTTGAGTCAGAGTTGTGTTTCTAATAATTTGTGGAAAGATCATCTAGGTTTCTGTTGGTGTTTGGAAGAATTGGTATTATGATAAGTGTATTTATAATACGGTTTATTTTTTTGTGGCCCAGAGCTTACATGATAATTGCTTTCTCATAACAAATACCATATTAGAGAATAATATGCAATGGAGATTTAATTTCTTATAGGACACTGAGTTATGTTTCCAATTTCAGTCCAAAAAGATCGCAGAGATAGACAGGGAGGCTGGAATAGGTAGAATGAAAGGTCAGCCCTTCCTTCAACTCCCAGAAACTGGCAAGTAGAAAGGTGCTTGTGAAATGAAATTATTTCTAGCTTGACAATTCTCTTGGCAGGGAGAAGATGAAACAATTTCGGTTTGACTAATACTGAGCCCGAAGTTGTATCTGAGAAAATCTCCCAGATGGATTTCCTTGTAGGAGTAGACGCTAGCAGGAATTCTCCATTTAAAGGTTTCTTTTCTTCTGGCAGCGGTGATGGTGGTGGTCAGAGGGGAATTTGGAGTGAAAGGTGGTGCTAGATCCGCTTATGTCTGCAGGTGAACATCCAGGGGGGCTTGTCTGGTGACCTCAGCCACAGAGTGAACAGATCTATCCCATGAGTGGATTTTCCCAACTCTAAACTCTTTCAGTCCCTCCATATCTCCTTCTGGATCCTTCTATGTCTGTCTGCCCCTGTTGCTCGGTTAGGTCTTCTCCTTCCCCAAATGGCCATCCGGTCTCAGAGCATGTGCACTGCTGCAAAAGTATGTTCTGAGGAGGTTCCTTGATTTGATTTGATTCTACTTTATTTATGTTTAATTTAATTATTTTTTTTCCTGAGGCTGGGGAAGAAGCACCTTGTATAAGAGGAGAGAATTACAAAGAGGGATATAGATGCAAGGGGCCCATGGCTTGACAAGGCCTCATTCACGGTTTCCAGCTTACCCAATACCCTGATGTTTATTGGCTGTCTTAAGAGATCTTGGGTGGGAAAAGCATTGATGGCTATCAACCTTCTTTCACTTAGCTCTGAGAACGCTCATCCTTTCTCTGTGCTGCAGGAAGCCCAAATGCGAGACCCCTTCACTCCCGCTGGGGCGCAGCTGCCCCTCCCAGGGGCTCCTCCTTAAACTGGCCCTCCTGGGATGTGCCTGGCCCTAGGCCAGCTGCTCAGTATGCATTATCATAGTTTCAACCCCACCACAACAAATGCAGTGAATGTTATTTTTAATCTTTCTTTTTTTCTAATTACTGTCCTGCCCTGTGTTACTACATTTGATGTACTTGGCTAGGAGAGCTTTTGAAAAGGAACAAATGTGACATTGCTCCCAAATTTCCAAGAGAGTTTGATCATGTGTTCCATTTCCTTCCTCCTTCTCTCTTTGCCTGCCTTGATTTCTCTCTTGCTTTCTTTCCTTCTTTTCCGTCCTCCCACCTTTCATTCCATACTTACATAGCACTTACTATGAGCCAGAAGTAGCAGAGGACAAGACAGCTAAGGTCTCTGCCCTCCTGGAGCTCACATTCTGGTGGGCGAAGACAGACAATAAGTGAACAGACACACCAACAAGCTAAATACAGATTGGGATAACTACCACAGAAAAAAGAAAGGGTGATGAGAGGGGGCCGGAGGAGAGCTACCTTAGATGGTCAGAGAAGGTTACTTTCTGGAGGTGAAAGTGGGTTTGAAAATCGAAGGTGGAGAATCAGCCAACTGATTGAATAGCTGGAGGAAGAGCGTGTGAGGTACATGGAACACAGCAAGGGCAGAAGACTGAGGCAGGAGGGGTAAGTGTCAGTGAGCACAGGAGAAGAGGCCGGCGTGGCCGCAGCAAGTGAGCAGGGGGGAAAGCAGAACAAAGTCAAGTCACTATGGTGGGCGGGCAGATCCCACAGGCCTGATACACTGTGGTTAGTAAGACTTTGAGTTTCATTCTCAACATGATGGGTGTTTTTCTCATGGTGCAGGAAAGGAGCAACATGATGTAATTTTCCCAAGACCACTCTGGATGCTGTAGGGAGGGCCGGGTGGGAGGAGGAAGCTGGTTGAGGGTGGTTTTCTGTGCTGTCCTTCCCTGACAACAGAACCAATGATGAAATGATGTTGAGAGAACCACCCGGTTGCTCGTTCTCTGAGTGAGATTTTTGTTCATCCTGGGTCCTGCCCTCCCTTACCAGGTTTGACTATGTGGGGCTGGAGCCCAAGACGACGTACTATATCATGAGGGACCTGGAGGCCCTGGTCACAGGCAAGTCCTTCGTCGGCCAGCAGTTTGCCGTGGGGAGCCATGTCTACAGTGTGGCAAAGACAGATTGCTTTGAGTACGTGGACCCTGTGGATGGCACCGTGACCAAGAAACAGGTACTCGCTGGGGAGGCACTAAAGCAGATTATTAGAACCAGTGGCCAAAGTGCCCTAGAATTGGGGATGTCTTTAGTGAGGATCAGTTCCAAGCCTTTCATTTTAGAGATGAGAACTCTACAGCTGGCAAAGAGGAAAGCCCTTGATGAAGGTTACCGAGCAAGTTAGAGGCAGAGAGTGGATTAGGAGAAAAGGAGATTGTTGTTCATTTTCCCAGATTCCAGGGGCCAAGTGACATTTTCATTGGCTGGTGGCCCTGAGTCACACTGGAGCTTCTCTGCGGGTCTGGATTTGGCTCAGTGAGTGTGATGAGAGACTAGTTAATACCCAGTGACATCCTCATTGTCAGCAAGTCACAGATGGTTCTCTTGTCACAGCTGGTCTTGTTGGGTACAGGGGAATCCCTGCACCATGTGGGGTGCTGATGTCAGCAGGTATCAGCATCCAACTGCAGCAGTAGTGAAGTCTGGGGCACACTGCAGGGCATGTTGTGCAAAGTCAGCATAAGTTTTCAAACTGTTGGTACCAAAAAGACACGTTTGAATTGAACTGATCAAGTTTTATTTTATTTTATTTTATTTTATTATTGAGACAGAGTCTCACTATGTGGCCCTGGGTAGAGTACCATGGCATCACAGCTCACAGCGACCACCAATTCTTGGGCTTAAGAGATTCTCTTGCCTCAGCCTCCCAAGTAGCTGGGACTACAGGCACCCACCACAACACCCAGCTATTTTGTGTTGCAGTTGTCATTGTGTTTAGCTGGCCTAGGCCGAGTTTGAACCAACCACCCTCTGTGTATGTGGCTGGCTCTGTAACCACTGTTCTATGGGAGCCGAACTATGATCTACTATTATTATTAAAATACTCAGAGTACCTTGGTGTATTCATTCAATGGGTATTTATTGACAGCCTACCAAGTTCATAAGTTGTTTTTCTCATGGTGCAGTTTTTAAAACATAAGCATACAACAGTTTTATTGAGATATAATCCACATACGTTACATTTCACCTGTTTAAAGGTGACATTTTCATTGGCCAGTGACCTTGAATCACGCTGGAGCTTCTCTGTGGGTCTGGATTTGGCTCAGTGAGTGTGATGAGAGACCAGTTCACGTACCACACTCAGTGAAACTAGAAACACTTTAGTGTGTTTCTAGTATATTTACCGAGTCATCACCACAATCCATTTCAGAAAATTTAACTGTCCCTCAAAAGAAACCCTGTGTTTTTTGGCATCATCGTTCTTCTAACACCCTTCTAGCCCTTAGGCCCTGATCTAATTTCTGTCTCTATGGATTTGTCTACCATAGATATTTCCTATAAACAGAATCATGTAATATGTGGTCGTTTGTGACTAGCTTTTTCACTCAGTGTGATGTTTTCAGGGTCCATCCAGGTTGTGCCATATATCAGTGTACCTTTCCTTTTAATGCCAAGTAATGTTCCATTGCACAGATGGACCACGTTTTGTTTACCTCTTCATCAGTTGATGGACATTTAGGTTGTTTCCATTTGGGGGTCATTATGAATGATGCTTCTGTAGACATTCATATACTAGTTTTTGTGCAGACACAGGTTTTCAGTTCTCTTGGGTATATACCTAGGAGTAGAATTGCTGGGGCCAGTGGCAACTCTGTTTAACCCTTAAAGGAACTGCCATACGGTCTTCAGAAGTAATTGCCTCCCATTTCACATTCTTGCGAGCAGGGTGAGAGGGTTCCAGTCTTCCCACACCTTTGCTAATACTTGTTATGGTGGGCTACAGTTTGGATACTTGGCTCCTCCAAAGTTCATCCTGAAGTTCCATTCCCAGTGTTGGAGGTGGGACCTGGTGAGAGGCATTTTGGTCATAGGGGTCAACCCCTCATGAATGGCTTCGTGCCCTCAGCATGATGACCAGGGAGTTCTCACTCTATTAGTTTTCATAGGAGAGCTAGTTGTTTATTCCCCCACCTCCACCCCGGCCGAACACTTACTATTTCTTTGTGTTAGGAACATTCCGATTCTACTCTTTTAGTTATTTTTAAATTAATTAAATGTTGATGTATAACTTTTAATTTTTTAATTTTTTTAATTTTTTAACATAGTCATAACTATGTACATTAATGCATTTATGGGGTACAAGGTGCTGATTTGATATACAATGTGGCAAGCTTCCATCAAATGTATTAGCATAACCATGACCTCACTTACGTATTTGTCATGGTTAGACATTTATACTCTTAATAGTTTTAAAATGTACCATTGTGGGCAGCGCTTGTGGCTCAGTGAGTAGGGTGCCGGCCCCATATACCAAGGGTGGTGGGTTTAAACCCGGCCCCGGCCAAACTGCAACAACAAAAAATAGCCGGGTATTGTGGCAGGCACCTGTAGTCCCAGCTACTTGGGAGGCGGAGGCAAGAGACTCACCTAAGCCCAAGAGCTGGGGGTTGCTGTGAGTTGTGATGCTACAGCACTCTACCTAGGGTGACAAAGTGAGACTCTGTCTCTAAAAAAAAAAACCTGTAAAATGTACCATTGCACTGTGCACAATAGATGAAGAGTGGACTCTCTCTTGCCCTTTCTCTCCCCATATGATGTGCCTGCTCCTCCGCCTCCTCTCACCACAACTGGAAGCTCCTTGGGTCTTCCCCAGAAGCAGATGCTGGGACCATGCTTCTTGTTCAGTCCCGAGAACTGTGGGTTGAATATATTAATACTTTTTTCCTTTGCAAGTTACCCAGCCTCCAGTATTCCTTTATAGCAATGCAAAACAAACTAACACATTATGTCTTTTTTATTTTAAGATACTGTTATTTTAAAACAACCTACTATATTAGGGGTTATTTTAAAATTAATATAGAAGGATATTTGATCTCCATAAGAAGGAACAGAAGTATGTCTGTTAGCGAAGCCCAAGGGAACCGTAATACTGCAAAGTCTGCTTGCCCTGCAGCCTGCTGTGGTCCTCCTCAGAATTCTGTCGCACTGGAGTCACAGACACAGGTTTGAAGGCTGGCTTTGTCACTGCCTAGAGTTGTGACTTTGGGCATGTTACTTAACTACTTCTCTGAACTGCGGCTGGGGAGAGGGCTGGTGATAGTTACCATACATAGGATAATGGAGAAGGAAGTCAGTTCCCTGCCCTCCCACTGACCAGAATTCTTAATTTGACTGGATATCAGTTTGAGGAAAGGATAAATCTCTTATTCTCTCTCTCTCAATCAAATGTGTATATATATTTAATATATATATATTAAATAATCTTCAGTGTGTTACTGGACGAAGAGGATCTGGCTGCCTGTCACTGTCAGCCAATATGCAGAGACGGGGAAGGGTCCACCACACTTCGCAGAAGGCCAGCAATTCTGGAGAACAGTGAGAGGAGCCTCTCCAAGACTGTTCTGTTCTTCCATTTTTAAAAGCACAGTTTTATACATGAAAGTTCAAAGCAAAGACCATGTTAACCTGTATCTCCTTATCTTAATAATTGGCATGACCCATGACCCATAATAAACAATAATCAGGACAACCCATGACCCAAAACAACATTCCAATTCAAAAGTTAATCTTCTAAATCAATTGCCCTAAACTACGCAAGATACGCACTTTTAGGTTAAACCTAAAAGTTGTTTTGCAACTTAACCTGTTACAAAACAGCAAGAATAAGAGACATGAGGTGAAGGTCATGTAGGACCTAAACTGACCAGGCCAAGCTGTATCATTGCAGTCCTAGCCTGCCAAGCTCTGTTTTATTCTCACTACGCGTGCTCTCAAGTACACCATTAGGGTTAGAAAACATATTTCTGTTGGTTATGTTAAAAGAGCATCCTTGAGAAAGAAAGATCTTAGCATTTAATGAGTCACATATGATAAGAAAAGCAGAAAAATAAATGCAACTTTGCGGAGTGTCATGTGAAGATATGAAAAGATCTCTGCAGTTTCTGAGTCATCTGTGAGCTGATTCAAACTCACATTTCTCTGTCTCCCTCTGGTTCCCCCCCCCCCCAACACACATCACTGCTTCAGAAAGGAAAAGGTTTTTAAAGGTGGCTTATTCTCCTCTTTGTCCTTCACTTGAGATCAGAGTCAGGAAACAGACTTAGTGGGGGAAGGGGGGAGAGCTGTTTTGTATATGACTCTAGAGATAAAGCAGAAATGCCTCTCTACATAAAATGAAATCAAAATCCCGTCCTGGGGACAATCACACCTCAACCCCCTCTGATTCCGCTGCTGTGGAAATGGACACAGAAGCCTGTCCTGCCTGGGAGACCCCGTGCGGTCACTCCAGGTCAGGAGCAAGAGGAGAGGCCGGAAGCTCTCACCCCTGATGTGAAATCCTGGGGCCCTTTCTGGCCTCGCTGTGGCTGCTCAGGTTCCGTGGGATTTTCTGTAACTGCCTCCAAATGTCTGATACGTTTGTGACCTTAGGCTCCGAGAGAAGCTGATGTGTGTTTTCCCACAAACAGGGCCCAAGAGAGACTCTGTTTGATTTAGAAATAGCAACTTAATGAGGCACGGTTCAACAACTGCACTTCTTCCTTCTATCTCCCCAGGAGGAAATGTCCCTATTTATTTTCAAGTAAAATCTGGTCACATGAGTGACTGATGCCAGTCTCCTTCAATATGAGTAGGAAAAACTAGCCAATGGCTACTGTGAGGCTAAGCGATCCAATTGCTGACTAGATAAATAAGTTCTCGATTCACGTCTTGTAAAGAGATGGGGGGAATGAGGGGAGGGGAGGGAAGAGTGGCCGACTCATTCTCAAGGGTGAATTCATTGTGCAAACGTCAGGGTTTCCATGGTGCTGGCTGTTCTCTCTCTTCCCTCCACCATCAGTATCCTGAGGGACATTATCAACACCAAGATTGTGCCCTTTCCCCATTTCTTACCTGTGATCCAAGTCCTGGTCTCTCCACATCAGTGCCGGTATTTATGCCCCAGGGCTGATAGAAGGAATACCCCCATCCCGTGTTGTGAGTAAGGACAGTATGACAGAAATGGGCCCATATTGGCAG